GCTTGCTTGTCGGACCCTTCCCACGTACTTGTCCCACCACAAAGTTGTCATCCGTTCTGGAGCCTTTCTTTTTTGATGCCCACACAGCTTGATTGAGCAGACTGGCCAATTCATCATCCCTGTTTATCTCCTGAGAAAGGAATTTACAGTTAAATTAGGATTAGAATCAGCACTGATGCAGATGTTTGGCTCTCTGGAGGCTGTTAATCTGAATTAGTGAAAAGTCTGATTTATAAAATAGCCCTACAGAAATTCAGCCTTAATCCTCTGAGGCTCACACAGGAGCTCTGTGACTGATAAAGTGTTGCCAAGAGCAGGTCATTGCAGAGCTGCCTTAAGGAGCAGACTGGATTGTACAGACATGTCCCCACATGCTCCCTCTAGGGTCCTAAAAAGTCCCCCTCACAATCCTTTATACACTGTACATAAAGATCAAAATCTTTGAGGTGGAAAATACATTAAAGATCATCCAACCCCACTTGGGACCCACAGTAGGAATCTGTCTACCATGTTCTCTGTTGCTGGCTACCTGGTCATCTAAAGGCATTGAGCTCACTGGCCTACAAAGCCTTGGCTTCCTTCTGGGGCCAGATGTAGACTTTTTCTGAGAGACGGCGAAGGAGGGAGGGGCAGGGGGAGAGGGAGAGAGAGAATCTTAAGCAGGCTCCATGCGCAGGGCGGAGCTCGATACGGGCTTGATTTCACCATCTTTCGATTGTGACCTGAGCCAAAGTCAAGAGACACGTGCATAACTAACTAAGCCACCCAGGGGCCCCAGCTGTAGATTTTTAAATCTTTCCTGATGTTGAGGTAAGATCTTCCCGACTAGATCTCTAGCTCGTTGGTCCCAGTTTTACCTTGGGAGGTAAAGCCCTCAGAACAAGCCCACCCCCTTTCACATAGGACAGACCTTCTGGGTTTTTGAAGCCCGTCATCATCTGAACCTCCTCCCTCCCTGCCCCAGAATCTTCTCCAGGCAAAGTCGTCCCAGTTCCTTCATACGGCTTTCCGACACTCTTATCTTCTAGTATCACAAACTGAGCCCCTTTATTGCAGAAGAGGCCTGGTCAATGTAAGCATAGAGGGACTGTTATGTCTAGAGATTAGGGTGCCTGGACTACCACTCAAAACCCACCTTTCTCCCCTGGTATGCTGAAGCCTTCCCCACCAGGGCTAACCCTGCCCAGACAAGGCATTGTAAATGCCTCCCAAACTTCTCTCCCACTGGCCTGCTCTTGGATCCCCTTCCTAGTCCTGGATTTCCCCGCTAGGGTTTTTGACTTGCTAAGCCGGCTCCTTTGCCTTCCGTCTGGCCCCTGACCATGAGGACCTCCTAATTGGGGTTGGGGTTAAAACGAGCTTTCACTACTCACTGCAGACAGCTCACGCTGATGAACACAATAGCGGAATCGGATCTCTGAAAAGGTTGAGCCACTGACTTCAAAGTTCCTACAAATGTGGGTCCTTTGAAGAGTTTTATTACATTGGGGTGAAGTCATAGAGTACAATTGTAATATTTACAGACTATGGAGTAGATGGTTTAATATGTCAAATGTTAATGATTTTTAATATAACACATTATCTTTGTTGTAACCACTAGCATTCTTTTAAAAAGCAGTTGATTAAAATATGAGAGGAAATGGTGCATGGGAAATAATTCTAATACAGTTTGGTGAACGAAGAATGTGTAAATTGCACATTACTCCCTCATCTCCTAGGCAGAACCAAGTATCACATGGGCTAGCTTTACTCGTTGCCACTTTAATATATATCTGGAAAATAAATTGGCAGTATATGAAAATAAATGTAGCAGAAGGGGGGATTTAACTAGGTGAACAGCTAATGGGTCTCAGTGAAGACCTGTAAGTGAAATACTCTGATGATTTGCCCACTCGGAAGTTCCACTGTGGATTCTAGGCAAGAATGTCGTCCTTGGCCAGTCATTCCCATACTGATGCTTTTACTGCTGGGTGCAAGGTGGGCCCAGAGGAAGTGAGAGTCAGACAGACTCAAATATGTGGCTTACATTCCTCCGCAGGCTGGGTGCAGCCACATTCTCCAGCAAGCCCAGGAAAAGCAGATGGATGATAGAGGCAGAGGGAGGTACTGGGGAGAGCAATTTTGCTTCCATTTTAAACAACTGTTATTCCCTCCCTGTTTCCAACTGTGCAACTGCCCAGAGAAAGCAATTCTTTCTCATTAAGATGCTCAAGTTCTTCACCCCCAGTTGGAGTCCTCTTAGTACCCTCTCTGAATTCAAGTCCACCTTCCCTCTCGTCCCCAAGCATCCGTGTTCATCGGGGTGGGTATGAAAAGCTGGTGAGCCTCTTCCTGTTCTTTCTACACTAGTCTCCCTTAAGGGGAGATTGTCCATATTGACTGGCCGTGGGGTCCTTCCTGAGAACACAGCAAGAGACTTAGCCGTAAGAAGTGTTAGGGAAAATAATTTCAGGTCTCATTTTATTGGGTCTCAGTCAAGGTCACTCTGAGGTTTGAAAGAGTCTTTATTTCATATCCATATCTATCTATGTTTACTTGTACATATATAGTCCATTTTTCATATGTGGTTTCGGTCCACATCCACAATCCCTTAATCACAATTTTGAAATTGAAAAAGTCCTGAGAGCTGTTATTTTCTGGAACTTTGAGACAAACTCATTTCATGACAGAACCCGACCTCTTACTGTTAATGTTACTGTAGCAATATTAGTGAGTTTTATTAAGGGATCCTTCCCCAGATCCCACTTGTGGTATTATATATATGTGGTATATTCACATTGTTAAAATTAAAAAATCTGAACATCAGCATTCTTCTCCCCTCCAAAGGGCTTTGGATAAGGAACACCAGCTAAGTCCGTGAAGCTTTATTGTGGTGTAGCTGATGAGTAACTTTATTCTGGGAAATAAAACATCTGTGCTTTATGTGTATCACCTCAGTGCATTCAGTTTTAGGGGAATAATCCCTGGGATTGTTTTGTTTCTTACAGCAGTTGCTCAACAGTAAGCCAGTAAACAGAAACTCTCTCCAGAAATATTCCAGAGTAAACCTAGGCTCGAGTTTAGTAACATTAGGATAAGCGGAGTCTTATGAAAAGCCAGACATTAATGCACAGATATGAAAGAAAACTAGAAAACCGCTTTTCACTTGCAAATCATAAATGTGAGCATGAGTTTGATTTTATCTCTGTCCGGCAGCCAGTCAGCTCAGGGCTGCGGCTCTCCGTGCTGGACCTGAAACGTTACTTGGGGGGAATTGAGGCCAAGTTAGCATAATGTCTGGATTGGTCTCATTAAATCTGTTCCCTCAGTCTTTATTTAGTAACCAAAGACAAAAACAGTTGATTAGATTTAGAGGTACTTTGCATAAATATGGCGTCTTTACTGCCATTAAGGAGAGACCTGCAAAAGAACGCAGGGAAGGAGAGCGCTGGTTGTAGGTCCCTGCCCCCACTGTCAGAGACGTAACACACGCACACACGCACGCACATGTGTGTGCGCTTTCCCAGGGGATACAGTCCCCTATTTCCTCTGCTTCTTCTAATCTCTTGGTGTATTTGGCAGAGAAATGTACTTTCAGATAGCATTTACTTAGCAGATAGCATTTTAAAATGAGCTTTGCTATATGAAAGAAAATACCTACCTGGGAGATTAAAAGGGCAGCCTTTAGGGAGGCAAGGCACATGGAATGAAAAGGCTCTCTGCATTGGATAGGGACTGACAAGGGGGCCATGCTGGCTTAAAGGGGATCCTGTTCCTTCCCAGGCAGCCGCTCAGTGTGGCGCTGCTGAGGGGGTGGGGTGGGGGCAGGCAAGGAATAATGCTCTGTGCCTCCGGAGTCTTGGGCAGAAGGGTCCTTGGGGTCCCTCTCGCTCCAGATTGAAGGTGGGACCATAGGACGAGGTGCCCTCTGGGACGAGGACTGCACTCTCCTGAATGAGCCGGGGCGGGGCAGGGGAGAGCCCGGCCAGGAGCTGGGAGCATGAGCAGCAGTGAGCCCGGCCTCGCCACCATTGAACTTATCTCCAAAGAGGGGATTGGGCCGCTGAGATGGGGGGGAGATGAGAGTCCTCCCCACCCCCTGAGGCTGGAGCCCCACTTCTCACAGTGAGCCCGAGGACAGGGGGCGAGGACATCGCCCGACATGCCAAGAGGCAGTGGGGACGATTTGTTACGGGCACGGGGAGCAAACGATTAGTAAGGAAGATTATTGATTATCAATAAAGGCAGAGTGGCAAGTGGCGTCTATTTTCAAATGCTTTGCTTGGTCAACTTTACAAATTTGAAATCAATCATTAGACTTGCTTGGTCCCTTATGATCATACCTCCCGGTAAGAGTTTTACAAAGAGTTTACAAAAATCAGGGTGCACGAGGCCAAGAAATGTGACTCTGGTCCCCTCGGGGCTGGGTGCTGGGCACCCGGCAGTGAAAGTGCTTCTCACAGTCCCTGCCCTTGGAGTCCCCAGCTCACTTCTCCAACAGCCCCTCTCCCTGTGGACCTCAGTTTCCTCCGATTAAAATGGGGGTTGAGTTCACCCCTCCTTGGTGAGAGGACTATACCGTGTGTACAGCTGAGGTCACAGCCCCGTGACAAACCTCTGGGTTTCTGAACAAGATGGCGATAGAAAATGAGAACTTAGCTTAACCAAAATAGCATGGAACAGTTAAGAATCTAAGGCTGTGCGGCGGTCTGTGTCCAGAAGGCGAGCACCCTTGGCTTAAAGTGTTCATGTGGAATGTGGGATGCTGGGCTTTCCTGAGAGGGAAGGTGGTGTCCTGGAACCCAAGGAACTTGGCCACACCCAGGCCTGGTTCTAACGAAACGTTTCACCTCCGGCCACTCGCGGGGCCTCCTGAGCCTCAATTTCCCGTCTATAGAATGGGACGGTGTGCTCCACTCTGCCTCTATCGGACAGATCGCAGGCCCTGATGCTGCACGGGGGGCTCTTGGCCTGCGATGGGAGACGAAATGAGGCAATGGATGATGTCATTTTTCTTTCAGCCCACTCTTGGCCACACCGCAGCCCCCACCTGTGGTGCCAGCCAGCGGGGGATCTGGCAGCTCCAGTGACTCAGAGAGCAGCTCCGAGTCAGACTCAGACACCGAAAGCAGCACCACTGACAGCGAATCCAATGAGGCACCTCGCGCGGCCACTCCAGAGGTGGGTGAAGGGGCAGGGGCTGCGGGCACGATTTGCCTGTCACCTGTCACCCCGAGCGGGCGGCCCTCCCCCCACACACACACACACATACACGCGCGCGTGCAAAGCAATAAATACTTCAGGAAAGTATTTGCGTATCTGATAGCATTTTTTTCCCTCTAAAACATATATGTGCACAGTCCCTAAAATACGGACATTCCTGGCTGTGTGACTCACTGAGTTCCTCTGAGCCTTCAGCTTCCTCATGTGTAAATGTGGAAGAGTAATAACCAGGCTAGCAACTTCTCTTTTGAGAGAACCAGTCAACCAGACCCACTTCTGGCCCGGGGGACACCACCCCTGACTCCAGGTTGAAGTGCTGAGTTGCCACTTGGCAAGGAAGACCCAAGAAATGGGATGGATTTTTTTCAAATTTCGGTTTGCACCCTCCAAATGTATTTGATAATAATTCATGAAAATACCTAATACCCTAAAATGCCCAAATTATACTTTTGAGATAAAAAACAATGTGCTCTTCCCCTCCCATCCTCTCTGAGTCCAGAATGACCCCTGGAAAGCAATACTGCTTGGACGTGGGCCCTGGGCTGGGCACCGTGAGAAGCTCTTGACCTGCACTTTTTCATGTTACCCTCATAACACTTCTCTGGGGTCCTTGCTGTTACTATCCCCATTTTATGAACTAGAGAATAAGGTTCTGAGAGCTTAAGAGACAACTTTCCCAAGATCTCCCAGGCAGACAGTGGTTGAGCCAGGGCTGAAACCGGGGTCTGTGCACTGCAGAGCCAGTAGCTCTAACCAGCTACTCAAGTGTTTTTAATTCTGTCACCCTCTATCGGCTGGCGCCATAAGCCTCAGCTGATTGGCTTTCAAAAGAAGAGCAGCTGTAATAAAAATGATGGCTCTTTTAGTTCAACAGGCAGAATTCAGAGTTGGGAATCAAGCACCTGAATTGTACACATCATATCCGTGGCTTAACAGCGGACACTAATGTCTGCATGCATGTCCCCATAAACTGATTATTGCCCACACACCGAGGAAAGTGCGGTGGTTTGGGGGAAGTCAAATCTTTTCATCCTTCAGTACAAATAGAAAAGGCTGTTCTTTTTTGCATTGAATTACAGCATCATAGAGGAGACACTGGCACTTTGGCGAATAGAAAGCCTTTCCTTTTGAATTACACTTGAGGCACGCTCACATTGCTTTTCAGGACCCGAGATCATTACCTCTGCCTCCTGGTGAGAGATTGAGCAATGAGTCCCACCAAAGGATTTTGGGAACAGGTTTCCCTGCCAGGCCTCCATGCCCACCCTCTGGGAAAACTCTCTGTGAATAATTCTTTCCTTCCTGGCCGGAGTGGAAACTGTTTTCAGAAGAGGAGTGGAAGTTTGTTGAAATAAGTAGATCGGGGCTGGTTTGCGGAGTATTTGTCTCTCTGGGTAATTTGATGAATTTAGATTCTGTGTGTGTGTCTCTAAATGTGTGAATGGGCACTTAACATCCCCAGCTTTTATCAGCACTCAGTGTACGGAGGGTCCTTCCGGATTTTGCCAAGATGTGAGATTCACTCTTACCGTTGTTTCTCATCTGCAGCCTGAGCCGCCCTCAACCAACAAGTGGCAGTTGGATAAATGGCTTAACAAAGTGACATCCCAGAACAAGTCGTTTATTTGTGGCCAAAATGAAACACCCATGGAGACTGTTTCTGTGCCTCCTCCAATCATCCAGCCAATGGAAGTCCAGGTCAAAGTGAAAACAACCCCCAGCCAGGTCCTGGCTGAACCCAAAGAGAGGCCTCTCCTCAGTCTTATCAGGGAGAAAGCCCGTCCACGGCCGACCCAGAAAACTCCAGAAACAAAAGCTTTGAAGCATAAGTTGTCAACAACTATTGAGACAGTGTCTCAAAGGACAATTGGAAAAAAACAGCCCAAAAAAGTCGAGAAGAACACCAGCATTGACGAGTTTACCTGGCCCAAACCAAATATTACCAGCAGCACCCCCAAAGAAAAAGAAAGCATGGAGCTTCCTGACCCACCAAGAGGCCGCAACAAAGCCACTGCCCACAAACCAGTCCCTAGGAAGGAACCGAGGCCAAACGTTCCCTTGGCTGCCGAGAAAAAGAAGTACAGAGGGCCTGGCAAGATCGTGCCAAAGTCCCGGGAATTCATCGAAACGGATTCGTCCACGTCCGATTCCAACACAGATCAGGAAGAGACCCTGCAGATCAAAGTGCTGCCTCCGTGCATTGCTCCAGGGGGCAATACTGCCAAATCCAAGGAAGCCTGTGGTGCCAGCCTGACCCTCAGCTCCTTGGTCAGCAGTAGCAACAACAGCCTAACCACCAGTGGTGAGGAGCCAGCATTTTCACCCATCCCTGTCACGCAAACCGAGCTGCTGTCCCCTCTACGAGACCACGAGAACCTGAAAAATCTCTGGGTGAAGATTGACCTTGACCTGCTGTCTAGAGTGCCTGGCCACCACTCAGTGCAAGCAGCGCCAGCCAAGCCGGACCACAAGGAGACTGCGTCCAAGCCCAAGCGCCAGACCACTGCTGCGGCCGCCGAAAAACCCGTCCCTAAGGGCAAGCGTAAGCACAAGGTAAGCTGTACCCCTCTCCCCCCGCACCCCCGCCCCGCCATGGTCTGCCGAGGGATCATGAGCGGCGGCTCTGTGTTGGTGAACGTGATCTTGAGCCTCATGTGCAAGGAGGCTAATGACAGTGGATTGCAGTCTCTGGTGAGGGCAATGATGCTTTCCATGGGAGAGGCGGTATTTGACATGACCAGGGAGGAAGTGTTAGGAATGGTCAGGGTTTGGCAGCCAATGTGAAGAGTATCCGAAATAGCACATGAGGGATTATGATGTGTAGGAAAGAAGACTGTGGAGACAGTTGCCTTCCCCAGGCAGCCAGTCCCTGGGATCGGCTCCTTAAGCCACCTCTGCTTTCATGGACTCACGGGGCCACACCCCACAGTCCCCACCCCAGCAGCAGTAGGGCACCCGGGTGCTCCCAAGGGCTCAGCGTGCATCCCCTGGGCCTTGTTAATTTCTCCAGACACACATCGGCGTCCCCGCACCCCAGTTATATTTTGATGCTCCTGGCTCCTAGCAGACACACAGTCTGCCCAGCCTGGTGGGTCCCCTGAGCTGTGTGGTTGGCCCAACTGGTGGAAACCTCACCTGCAAGAGGTTAGGGCTAAATTCCAGGGCTACAAACTATCACCAGGGACGCCTGGCTGGCTCAGTCAGTAGAGCATGCAACACTTAGTCTCGGCGTCATGAGTTCGAGCTCCATGTGGGGTGTATTGATTACTTAAAAAAAAAAAAAAAAAAAAAAAAAACCAGAAAACTATCGTCAGAAGGGGAAACCCAGAATGGCCTCTTCCATTTCAAATACATTAGGCTCACTCTGTTGTATCTCCAGATCTCAGGGCAGGTTTTTTGAGTAACATCATCTCATAGTGATATTTGAGTAATGGTACTTTTAATGGCTGCCATAGGAAGTCTGGGGCTCTTGCCCTCTTACTGCTTCCCCGCTCTTCAAGATGACAGCGGTGCAACCAGGGGCATGTCTTACACATGGTTTATTGCCTGGCATGTTGGTTGTGTAAGTGACCTTTATATGTAACCCACGATCCCCGTGCTGTTTGCAGTGTTAGTTTCTCCGCTACTCATCTGTGGGGACATTGTTGATGGAAGAAGGGTCTGAAAATGATAGGTTCTCTTTACTTTTGGTAGGAGATTCCTGTGCCACCCAATCTTTAATCAGAGGTTCACAGCGCAGCTCAACTCGCTCAAATGCAAGCTTCTTGGCTGATTGCTTTTCTGTCAGAGCAAAGGTGTGCATTTAACTCCCCTGGCTAATCTAGAAGTTAAAATAGAAGCAAACTGTCTACCTTGCTCGTGGTTTTTCAATGTCTGCGTGTGCCATGTATTTCAAGCTCTGTATTTTTCTTCCCGTTAAAGCCAACAGAGATCGCAGAGAAAATCCCTGAGAAGAAGCAACGCCTGGAGGAGGCCACCACTATTTGCCTGCTGCCCCCCTGCATCTCACCAGCCCCACCCCACAAGCCTCCCCACGCTAGAGAGTGAGTTTGCCCTGTCCTTTGTATGACACTTCGATTTTTTGGACCCCCCCCCCCGCCCAGAAATCTCAAAGGAAGTCTTTTGTGGGCGGTGGGGGGGGGGGGGGGGTCCTGTTTCAGAGGAATGGAAGGTCAGGAAACAGAAGTTGCTCAGCCAGTCCTGACAGCTGGTCTAACAAGGGTGGGATAAAGGCCGGAATGCAGGCTGCCAGATTTTGCATGACTCCATGAGCTTTATAGCAATCTTTCTTTACTCCACCTCACGTGGAGGACCAAACTCGGCCAAAGTGACCTTTTAGCACCAAGGGAAGAGTAAAAGGAGTGAAGGAATTAAAATGGGACAGCACCCAGATCACCTGCTTCTGGGCAACTTCCAGTTTCGATGGTGATGAAAGCAGGCTTTGCACGATGACCCAGCTGCTGCTTCCTCTTTGGTGCCATTCCGTAACCTGAATACAGAGCCTGAGGACTAGTAGGTCCATCCTGACCTCCTGAGAAGCCAGGGGAGTGACATGTTTGAGGAGGCCGGAGAGAGGGGACATCTGGGAGCTGCCCTCCCCCGGGGCCGTTGTGTGTCAGGGAAAGCTGGCTGGGGACCCATCTGTTAGTTCCAACCAGCTGGCACCTCTTTGCGTAAAGTGCCAGAGTCAGGCGGGAGACCTCCTCACTCAGATGGCCCCAGCCTTCCCTGGAGAAGTCCTGGGCTCTGTTGCTACCAAGGGTTGTGACCAAGTTCTTGCATCTTAGAAATACCACTTAACTAACGGTCACGTCAGCTACTGGAACCATTCTGTCTGGATAATTATTGCCATAAATTCATTCAACATTAGAGATTCCTTCCATCAAAGACCAGTTTGGGAGCCTATTAGCGGCCCAGAGCAGAGAGGCAATCTGGCTAAATGCTGCTAACAATTGACTTCACAGATGACTGTTTCACATCAGTGATACAGTATCAATCTGCCACAGATAAGATGTCGGAAATAAGTTTTCAGCTTACAGTTGTTGAGGTCCTTATTGTTTTGAGATGAAAGGTAGGAAAAGACCAATTACCACTATATCCACTTGGTATAATAAGGAGATTGGGGCCCCGAGCTGCCCTTCTCCCTGAGGATCCGTGGCTCTTTATACGGTGCGTCTGGTATAACTTCGCTCTGAAACATCCCTTGGCATACTTGGAGTTCTCAGGACTAGCGACCCTTCCAATGGGGCAAGCTGACCTCTTTACCCCTGAGTGAGCCAGGCCTGTGGGGAAGCATGCTCCTTCCCCCGGTGATCAAGCATGATCCTCCCACGGCCCTCCTCCTTCCCTGGAGGACAGACTGAAATGGCGTGGCTGTGGTGGCCAGAGCTCCCCAGTTCCCAGGCTGTGACCTATTCAGGCCACCCGAAGGCACAAGGAAAGGGCAAGAGGCATTGCCGCAACCATCGGCCTCTGATGCTAGCCTCCCTAAGCAGCCCAGCGACCCGCCACTTCTCCCATCTCGTGGAAGAGACATGACCAGGTCTTAAATAAACGTCTGATAATTCGAGTTTGTTCTTCATAAAATGGTGTTGCTAACTCATGGTCTTTACAGTCTTTCTGCTTTTGTAGTCGTTAGGAACGCAGTGTTTACCTAGTAGCGTTTATCCTTCAGGAAGGGCCTGGAGCAGATTCTTAGGCTCATCAAACAAACCCAGGTCTGTGGAAAAGTCTCCGGAGCTGAGAGAGAAAGAGAGAGAAGGAAGGGAGGACTGGCCTCTCAGGGCTCTTCTCCTGGGAACCATCTTCTCAAGTTCTGTCTGCTCCTTTGTGCCTTGTTGACCCTCCAAACCAAATCCCTGGAAATTTGTATGAGACATTCACTTTTCTAAATGAATGTTCTAAACCCAGCAAAGAATGCCACGCCAGACTATGACTGCTGCAGTTCCCCGTCATCCAACAGGAGGGTCCCGCTGAGGACCACCCCTCCCCCCCCACACCTCCTTGGGAGCTTGAACCATCAGCAGGGCTTCTGATGCATTGGGTGGTGGTAGTGACACACTTCTTGTCTGCTGTCCCCCTCGGCCTACAAGAGGTGCCCAAAGTGGCAACACCTGTTCTCGTAATAAGCCATAACAGTGTTAGAGTGATCTCTAGAAAATGCTCCCTGGGTATCCTTCACCAAGGAAGTTATTAAAGGCCCCATGGTTCCAGCTCACTACCAAACAGATGGAAAGGGGCCCAGGTGACCAGTGCCCACTGCACAGAATGTGCTGGACTGCGTGCAGTGTTCTGTGTACAGTGGCAGATGGGAAGGCCAAGCACGACTGTCGTGGCCAATGGCAAATCAGATGCAGCTCAAGTAGCGGAGGAGTGGCTGTAGCTAATGAACCATTCACCTCCCATAAACGCCCCAGCAATGCTTGACATCCCTCTATACAAATTCCCAGAAGTCCGATGTCTCCGTAATGGTCATACTTAGTGGGGGCTGATGTTTGTGGAGCTTCCTCATGGGCATGAGTCTTAATCCAGATGTTCGCCATTCTTTAACTGAGTATCACAGTTATCTTAAAGTGGTTCTATGTATCAAAGCAATTTTTAAAATCCATTGGCAAATATTTTTTGATTAATCATAACTAAGGTAATGGCAGAAACAGTTACTGTTCTTAAATATTTCACTGCTTGACAAAACTTGACATAGAGCCACATTTATGAAAAGATAGAGAAGATGGCAAATACTATCACAGTTGGCAAATTTGGGCAACACAATGGAAGGGAACAAGGAGATTGCATTGACTTCTACCATCTCAGGAAATCAGACCACTTGAATGCTTGTTCATCTTTGATTTGTTGCCTTGAGAAATTGTAAATCTATATTGCTAGACACTGACTAAAATTGACCAAGAGGAAAACATAAATTCTTGTTGACTTAATTTGCTATTGAAAATTGTAGTCAATAATCATGGAAAGTAAATGGCTGCACAGTACAATATTAGTTGTCTAAGAAAAGATTAAAAATCAAGTAATCTTCATTGATTAGGCTAAGACAGTAACTAAAATGAAAATCCATGACCCAATTACCATGTTAAGCAGCTAGCATAAGGTTTTAGTTGTTCTGTTTTATCCGAAGTCTCTGTCTCTTTGATGGTGCCCATTTAATGGGCAGATAAATCAGTCTGAAAGCACGCGAGTACTTCTAGGACTACAGATGTCTTGTGGCAATATGACAAAATAGTTTTCAAATGGGTTCCCTAAAGAGGAGCACATCAGTACTCCAGTATAACAGCGTAAGGTCAGGGGCTTCTTATGCCTTGGCGTGGGCCTAGAACATGTTGGACGTATGGCTCGCGATGTGTCACAAAAGTATTTAGTGTGTTATTGATAGCTAAGTAATGTACAAGCATACTATTTCTTAAGAAAATATCCCTCTGCTAATTGTTTATTGTACCATTTATTGTGTGATTATTCAGTTAAGTCCTAGGGCAAAATAAGTAAGAACCATCCTAAAAAATGACGGGATTAAAGTCTGCATTGGATTTTCCATAAAAATCTAATTAAGAGGAATCTCGAAAGGTTGCAAATATCACACTGTAGCACCCTCCATTAGACAGTTACATTTACCATTGAGTTCTGCTTCAAAGACATGTGTTTATTCTTAGATACATATATTTGCATTTATTTATAGCTCTATCTCTCTATAGATATCTATGTCTACATGCATTTTTATATATACTCTTTACCATAGCTAGAGGGCCATCAACTAAAATAGTACTTAAGTTGAAAGTACCCACATCATGAGAAAAATCATGAGAGAGAGACAAAATTTTGTGACACCCTATGCTTTTTGTTTACACAGAAACAGTTCATCCAGGAGAGCAAATAGAAGGAAAGAAGAAAAGCTGTTCCCTCCTCCACTTTCCCCACTGCCGGAGGACCCTCCACGCCGCAGAAACATCAGTGGCAGCAGTGGCCCCTTTGGTCAAGACAAAAACATCCCTATGATCGGACAGATCGCCTCTACCAAACCCAAGAGGAGTGAAGGCAAATTCTGTGCTACTTTCAAAGGGATATCCGTAAATGTAAGCATCTCAGAAGAAATATTATAATCATCAGGTATAAACAGGTTGACTCAGCTTATCTGACCAGATGTGATTGCAGGGGGATGGGAGGAAGAAGCAGAGAGAACAGTGTACAGAAATATGCAAACTCTCCATTATTTCAAACCTCAGTTGTTCTAATGTAGGATGAATTTTTCATTCCAGTCGTACTTCTCCCAACAGATTATTATGCAGAGACTCGGGGCTTTGGACATCCTTTGGTCCAATACTTTCATATCTCGGCGGTGGGGACACACAAAATACTGATTGAGCACGTGGTGTAGGCACTGATCGTTTAGTGAATGAAAGAACCAATGGATGGGGTGGGATTGCTCAAAGTCACTGGACTGGAGCTGCAACTCCCAGTTGCATCTTCCCACCACCCAGCTTAGCAGGTGTGAATTGTGTTTAAAATAGTGACTCAAAAGGATGGAACTTAAAAGGTGAATCTGTTGCTAAAAATCATACAATTGTGGTTCTAAGCGCAACTAAAGGATCATTCAGCCCTTTGGATTTTCAGCACCGCTGCTCCATTAGCATAGAAAATTGAGACTTTGTATCACTTTTCACATCCACGCAGTCTTTCCATCTGTTTCAGGTATAGGTACCTGAAGCGCAGAAGCCACAAGCAAAGTGTCACCAGTGAATATTAATGACAAGTGCATCTGCTTTTCCATGTAAATGCATGTATATGCAGATGTAGCATCCGTATGCATCTAGTCTCCTTTAAGTGTAATATAAAAAAGCGAATACGAGAAAATCAATGAGCTTTCAAATATCTTGATGCCAACCTGGTGGACCCTGGACCAAACGTGCCCATTTACCACTCCATGAAAAGCCATGAGGCCTCTGAGCTTGAAGGACTCCAACGTAGAGTCCTCCATCATCTGAGATGACTGGCATGGCACGCGTATATCTAGGCAAATTTCAATGCTGGTATAGAGAAATTGTGCTACTTAAAATAGTCATTTTCCATATGAAATTGTGTGTGTGCGTGCGCACATGTGCCTACATAATATTTGCATTCACATTTAAAAATGCTGACCTTGTTAGAAATTAAACCATCTATTCTAAACAGTAATTATACTATCAATCGCATTTTTCATACTGAATGTAATTAATATGGTAAACGCCAACTGGTTCTCTTTTCTATTGCGAGCTTTGGGAGGGCATATGCCAGACCTAGGCAATTCTCTTTGTACAGTGCCTGGTATATTGTCCCAAAGAATTAGGTGCTTAATACAGTTGTGATCATGACAATGGTGATGCTTACAAGAATCTGCAAAGTCATTTCTACAAGAGCTAAAAGCTGCTAGGGAAACCTGATAATATGGTTCCATCTGCACCTAGAAATGGATTGCCCTCCTTAAGGAATTCACTGGAGTCTCCCATGGGAGGCTCCCATGACTGAGTACCCATTGCCCCTTCTTTTCATAAATGGCTTGAAAGCTGGAAGACGGGTACATTTTTGCCCTAGCCTGGGAGTTAAGAGGCTTGGTACATAGTGCTAAAACTGCAACAGGTTTTCTGTGGCCTTGGGCAAATTCCGAAACCACTCTTGAGTCCATAAAATGAGTGGATTTGACTGGATGAACTATAAGGCTTCCTCCAGCTCCCAAAGTGTTTTCAATATTGTGCTCTCAGAGTCTTCTGTATTCCACTTTTGCGTGAAGTCTTGTTTACTGATTCGATGGACAGCTGAGCACGGACGGAGGACATGTTTATATAACTTGCATGATCATGGCTGAATGCATCAGTGCCATGTGCGCAGTGGATGAGGTGCTTTGGGGTCCTTGTCACATATCTTGACCATAGGGACGAGTGGGACCGTCTTGGGCTGACTCCACTGTTTTGTCCGGGCCATCTGGCTTTGGCAGTAGAAACATGGAATTTTTGAAGGCTTCGATGTTTTTATGTGTTTGGGTTGAATAAAATCCATGATGATTTGTCAACCATTTTCTCCCTATCCATCATAACAATTGTTAGATGGATAGCCTCTCACCACATTTCTCTCAGTGAGCTCTTGATGGTAAGAAGTTTTGATAATCAGAAGATCCAGGATCAAGTGGAAAAGATAGACTTGCTTGGACATAAGAAATGTTCACATTTGACTTCTATTTTTAAACTGACCCTTTTGACTAAGGCAGGTAGGAGTGCATGCAGTCAACAAATTACTGGGAGCACGAGGCTGTGGGGTGGGGGGATGGGGTGGTGTAGCGATGTCAGAAATCAGAGATGGTGCCAGGGTTGAGAGCTCTCATTGTAAGGTAAGCAATGAGACATGTGCTCAAAGAACTACAATATAAAATGGCTGGTGGTTGGTGTCATAGAGAGGGATTGAGACAGACTTCAGATCTCTGAAGGGACCAAGGAGGATTAAAGTACTTCTGGCTGTGGACATACAAGGTGGTTTTCCTGGAGGAGAAGGCATTTGTTGAGCTGGGCCTTAGTAGGTGAGGACAGTTTAGAAATGAAGGGAGGTGGTTAAACAAAATGTGATCTGTCCATACAATGGAATATTCTTCAGCCTTGAAAGGGAAGGACATTCTGACATGTGCTACAACATGGGATGAACCTTGAGGACTTGATGCTGAGTGAAAGAAGCTAGTCGTATGTATTTTACCACAATTTTTTAAAAAGATTATTTATTTATTTATTTATTTGACAGAGAGAGAGACACAGCAAGAGAAGGAACACAAGCAGGGGGAGTGGGAGAGGGAGAAGCAGGCTTCCCGCCAAGCGGGGAGCCCGATGTAGGGCTCGATCCCAGGACCCTGGGATCATGACCTGAGCCGAAGGCAGACGCTTAACGACGGAGCCACCCAGGCACCCCCACAATTTTTTTCTTTTAATTAAAAAGTGGAGCAAATTATCGCAAGGTGAAAAAGGAAAAGTAATGAAGGGAAGGTTCTTTCAACTCTAAGACTCCACATGAACCAAAGCAAGAAAGTGAAGAAGACAGGATGTGTTCAGTCTGGGGGAAGGTCCGTGGGAATGAGTAGCAGGAGATCAAGTGGAAAGCTGAAGCCAGATCAGGGAGGACCTCACGGGCCAGCAAAGGAGCTCAGCCTTGAGTTTGCCTTTGGACGCAAGGCAGTAAAATGCATGGAGCTTTGTGTAAGAAGCTCTGGCAGGCCGGCAGCAGATTGAGAATGGATTGGAAAAGCTGGCTCCAAGGTCAGGGGTCCAGCCAGGAGGCTGATGGTCTAGGTCAGAAGCCACGAGGGCCCGCACTTGGAGGCTTCAGACAAGGAAGGCACAGCTTTGAGAAATGGTGGGGAGATGCAATGAATAGGACTTTGTAATGGATTGGATAAGGGTAATGGAGAGGAAGAAATTAAAGATGAAATAGGGCAGTGAAATTCACTTTATTTTGAAGCTCTTTTCAAAAGAGTTTTAGGATCATTATCATTTTTTTGAAATGAAGGAATTTGCAGCACTTCAATATATAGAGCTGATTAAAGCAGAGCAGCTCAGATGGAAGGCAAGGTGGGGAGTACACTGGTTCCAATGCTCCTAGCCCAGGGATGACCACAGTGCCCTTCCTGCCATGGAGAAATCCAGCCTTGGTGACAAGGGAAGACCATCCCGTCATTAACAGAAAGAGGGAACTGGTTTGGTTATCAATTTGGTTTCAGGGCAATTTGAGGGGCTAATGGGCCATCTTGGTGATAATGAGCCAGAGGTGATCACCGCACATCTGGAGCTTTAGAGAGAGGGTAAGATTGAGGTTTCCTTTTGGCAGTGATCCACATATTGTCAAATCTGCACCAACACATACGGGATTGGCAAATCCTGTCAAGGTCAGGAAAGAAGAGACCTGAGGAATGAACCTTGGTAGATACCAACCTTAGAGAGATACCAACTCAGACAAGCAGAAGGAGGAGGAGGTCCCATGGCAAGCATGGTCAGAGATAGAACAGTCAGGATCATGCCACCGTTGCCAGGTGGGGAGGGCCGAGTCTACCATGGTCTCATGACAGGTACTGTCACAGAAGTACAAATCTTGCCACCTAGTTTCTTCAGCTGGATTCCACTCTTTCCATGGCAGTGACAGTTGAGAGTGAAACCCAGAAATCTCTTGCCCATTTGGTTTTTGATCTGGTCAAAATGAGCTTTCACCATCCCAAGACTTCAAAATGAGGAGGCACTCGTGTGACGTTCACCTAGCCAGACATCAGTCAAGGCCTCAGTGAACAAAAGGGCAGCTTCAGCCTTGGTCCCAGGGTTTAAGGCCCGGTTTGCTGCACTGGATTATGGCATTTTGCAGAGTGACTGGAGTACCTTATTTACCCTCGTGAAAGTTTCTGGGCTGTTTCAGGGTCACCTCTCTTTCTTTCTCTCCATCCCCTACCCTCACACTTACCCTTGCTCTGTCTTCATTTTCCTTCCTCCTCTCTCGTTCTCTCCCTTCCCCCTCTCTCTTTCTCTCCCTCCCCCCTCTCCCCACCCACGTCTCCTACGAGATCTGCCAATGGCTGTCTTGATGGGATAATGGCTTATGTAATCACAGCACCTGACTACTTGGTGGTCGGTATCATCATAGAACAAAAGCTGGTGATCTACCAGGGTCACCTGTTTATTCTCAAGCAGTGTGCATTGTTTTCTTTCTCTTGCCTTGGTTCTTACTGTGCTTGACATTCAAAGTATATATGAAAAGACGTTCTAAGAGGCCGGACCTTATGGCAGCTATTTGTCCTTTTTCCCAGGATGGAGACACTCCAAAAAAGACACCCTCTGCCACCGTCACGGTTACCAACACAGCTATTGCCACTGTTACTGCTACTGCCATTGTCACTGCCACTGTCACGGCCACCGCGACCGCCACTGCCACAGCCACTACCACAACCACTACGACAACCATCTCCACCATCACCTCTACCATCACCACTGGCCTCATGGACAGCAGTCACCTGGAGATGGCGTCCTGGGCAGCCCTGCCCCTTCTGTCCAGCAGCACCACCAATGTCCGGAGACCCAAGCTCACTTTTGACGACTCGTATGTTGTCCCCAGATCATCACGGACACGGTGTGGGAGCGGTGCATGGGGGTGGGTGCAGGCAGGATGGCTTTCTTTTTTTTTACCCAAAGTAAAACCTCAGCGGCAGCCCCTCCTCCCCACACACCCCCTTGTCCCCACCGAGAAATGTCTTTGGCCCATTTTTATCATGGAGCTCTGGTACCATTTCCAAAGACAAGTGCTTAATTCTAGGTTGCTTTGGCTCCCTTTCTTATCCGTGTCCTCAGATTGAACAGTGTGCCAGAAGCAGCTAGGTTCGTTGGGGTCCACGGGATGTTTGGACAGTGGAAGGGCTGGGTTGGAGGGGACAGTTATTGATCCCAATGGGCCATTACGCACTTCACATTACACTTCGGGCTTATTGCAAGGTTGGCTCTTCTATGAACGATAGCATTCCCCACCTGCCCTTTCAAGGGCATTGCATTGGAATGGATTTATAGCAAAACCGTTTGTGGCTCTTCAGTCTTTCAGTGAAAAGATGAACCTTTGGTTGCTGAAAGAGCCTGTTTTATTTCTTTAGGGTTCACAATGCTGATTATTACATGCAAGAGGCTAAGAAGCTGAAGCACAAAGCTGATGCACTGGTAGGTTTTTCCCTCTCATGGCTTTCCTCCCATTAAGGTATCATGCTTTGAAGGGAAACAAAGAAGTCACTTTCCAAATGAGTCCAGCTTCCTCTTTGCTCCGCTATAGGCAGATTGGGGCTGGCTCATTCCTTACACCAGAATTCCCAAGTTCTTGGCAGCGTGTTGCCCTGCCCTTACTCATGTCCTCACTCTTCTTCCCCTTGCCCGAACTTCCCCTTGCCCGAACTTAAATGCCATATACTGTTGATGGCTTTCGAGTGAATTTGAGATGACTCTTGAAACTGCTCTGGAGAAAGTGGGAACTCCCATTGTTTCCAGTAAATCAGGACTGGTGTGGGCAGAGAGAAGGTTGTCGAGAGCTGGTCAGGTGGACTCAAAAAATGGCTTGGGGAAACTCAGGTGTGTAGAAAAAACGCAGCTCCGTGCTGCCTTGATTACATGTTTCTGAGTGAGGCCCACAGAGGAAGTTCTGTCATCCGGAGTTCCAAGGATGCACCGCCCCGCTGCCTCCAAGGGTCTTGGCCACCTAGACCAATGATGACCTCAGCATGTTGAGTTGTCCTGATTGCTCCTCCTAACGGGGGGGTCTCAACCACATGTCACAACTACTCGGGGAGCTTTAAAATGAACCCGATGCCTAAGCCTCACCCCAGACAGATGGAATCAGAATTTCTGAGACGGGGACCCAGGCATGGGTATTAATACTCTTCACTACCCCCAGAGACGGGCAGTGCCTCAATTCAGGGTCCTCACCTTTGACTGAACCCCAGCACATTTAGAGGTATCAGTTCAACTCCGTTACGTTAAAAAACAACAACAACGACCAATATCCTCCATCACGGTAGGGTGTCCCTCCGGGACTTAGCTGGCCCACGGTGTTGGACACTGGCAGGGCTGTGCTAGCGTACCTCGACAGCCCCTGCACTGTGACTTGTGACTTACGTCTGCATCTGCTGCTTCCCTACTTTCTGTCATTTTCCCACCGCGATCCACATTGCTCAGGTATCAGGTATTGTCTACGGCTAACCTTTCTGTGGTGGGAGCTGTCCTTTGGAAAGCTATTGTCCCCTGCTCCTGCAGACAAAAATGACAAGGCAGGCTGGGTGCCTGCTCTGCTGGAGACACTAGGGAGACTATGCCCATGACCATCGTATGGGCAGCCAGAGATTTGGAAGGCAGTGCTGCTGGCTTGAAGACCAGTGGTTTGCTCTGCACGTCCTCAACTCTGCAGCACCACAGAAGGGCTCTGGAGTTGACCCTTCAAAATCGGGGCAAGGGAGCGCACAAACGCTCCCTTGACAGGCTGGTCCATGGGCTCATGGAGTGGGGCACGCATGTGAGACCATGTAGGAGAGGTTCGGAAGAACTGAGAAAAATCAGAGCCACAGAGATACGTGCATAGGATTAAGACCCAGCATCACTCTCTACCTTCCAGGGTCGTGTTTATGTGTACCCCCCGCCAAATCACTTTTGGTCTAAGCCATTTAGAAAATGCATTTTCATTTGGGGATATTCCATCCCCCCCATGGGGGCAAAAACCAGTTTGGGGGGCTAAAGTAAAAAAGTCAGACATTGCAATGGTGCGTGACCTTCCAGGCCACAAGACATGAAGAGATGTTGAGTATGGTTTTGGTCTTTATATTTCAGTGGATGTGTGTGAAAAAAATCTCTCAAATAACTCCCACAGGGGCCCCGGGGGGAGGTGGTGATGATGGAAACAAAGGTTGAGAAACACTCATTTAGAGGCCAGAAGGCCCCCTGTAGTTCGAGCCCCTGGTTTTATGGATGGGAAAACGGAGGCCCGGGAGCAGGGTATGACCTGGAGAGGTTTGGTCTAGGAGATCTTTAAGAGGCCTTCCAGCTATGGGTTTGTGAATGCAAAATCACTTTGAAAAATCGGGATGTAAAGATTAATTTCCCCACAAGAGAGTCAGTCAGAGCCAGATTACCTAAGGAAATAATCGGGTGAGGCATGAGAAGAAGGAGATAGTTTGCATACGCACACCTAGGTTTTCATAAAATCGCTTTGAATTTGGTTCAGACCAATATTCTTCCACAACAGCTTACAGTAAGGAAACTGCAGAATTCCTGCAGTATATAAAAGCTGCAGAACATTTATTATAAAGAGAGTCATTTACAATAGCGGTTCTGTAGGACCTGTAACTCATCATTTTATAGTTGTACTTAATCCTTTGCTCGAGACAGCTACTCTGCCATTTTGAGAATTGAAACCTTCACCGTTGCAAGAAAATATTTTGATAAAAGGTATACAAGAAAATTAAAATAGCTAAATCTGCATTATATTGGTTCTTTTTACATAAAATTCTGTATTGGAATTCTTACATCCAGCTATCAAAAATTGAAAACATTAAATACTGTTATAAAATACTCACTATAAAAGTGTCATATATAATATTCATTACACATAAAAAAGAAATCAGTATGTCTAAGTCAGTTCAATCATGACCATTATCAGGGCTAAAACCTTTTGCAATAAAATTTTACTAAACTAAAATATTTAGTAGTGCTATATTTTTTGGCTTTTTGACACACTATTGCAGACCATCATTTACAATGAAAGTGATGTGATTATTGTCAACAGTCACATGGAAGCTTCACATTTTTCATGACAATAGCATCCATTTTTTACTCTTCCCCTGGGGGTGGGGTTGATGTGCTCACAAAGACTGTAGATGGAAGTTGTCCATGAGGCTTATGAAAAGCAGAGTTCCACCACCAGCTCTGTCCATAGGACACTACAATGCCCAGTCTAGTCAATTCAGCGAATAGAAACTAGTCAAGGCGTGATTTGCATTCTGATCCCCCCCAAAATAGTCACACCAGCAACAGGACCACAAATACGTGATCGTACCACCACCACACACGATACCTTGGCTGCATTCTTCTCTTCTCTACCAGCCTCGGGGTCATGACAATAGAACCTTAAATCAGCTATGTCACTGTCGATACGAATTCACCCACTGACCCCCCTTCTCCATCGGGGTTTCTCAACCTCGGCACTCTTGGCATCTTGGGCTGGGTATTTCTCACTGCTGGGGGGTTGTCCTGTGCATTGTGGGGTGTTTAGCAACATCTCTGGCCTCTGCCAACTCGTCCCTCGTGCCGACGACCCCCAATATCTCCAGTCGTTGCCCAACGTCCCTGGGGGAGGGGTGCAAAAAGGCCCCGGGATTGAGACCCACCCCTTTATATGAGGGAGAAAAGAGGCAATATCGTGGTGACAAGTCATCTTCCTGTTTCAGTTCGAGAAATTTGGCAAAGCCGTGAATTATGCCGATGCAGCCCTGTCCTTCACCGAATGTGGCAATGCAATGGAACGCGACCCTCTGGAAGCCAAGTCTCCGTATACCATGTACTCCGAGACTGTGGAGCTCCTCAGGTTAATGGCCTTTCTGCAGCCATCTTCCTAAGCTCATTTCAGTCGTAATTAGAAGCGGCTATGTTTTTTAAAAATATCATTTCCTCCTCCTAATGGTTTGTCCTACGCATCTTCTTCTTAGAAGTCATCATAATTAGTTCTTGCCATTTTATTAATGTCATGGAAAATTTATAATTGATGGACACCGCTTTTATGAATTATCCCCTTCAGATGTTATAATGTGAGTGTTCTAATTTGCAATATTCATAAAATTAAAATGGAAACATAGTGGGTGGAAGTAAAGTATAATAATTTCACCGTGTGGCATTGACACTTGCCTTTTCAAAGTGCAGTTTTATAATTCAAGGAAGGTGGCACTATCGGGATTTCTGTTATGAACCATGTTTTCTCAGAATTTCTGCCTTGGTTATTAAAAAGGAGGGGCCTCTGTTCCAACACAAAGTTGGCGTTGAGGGCCGCAGGTGTGCGGTGAACTTCCCCTGTGTCTGTAATTTCAGGGAAATAGACAAGGTGGTAGGAGGGGGAGGGGTAGAGATCAGAGGATGAGAATAGGAGACCAGTATATTAACTGCACAGATTATCGGTCACATCTGCATTTGAAATGAAATTTCCTGGCCTGCCGTTGGTCTTGGTGGAGTAGAATTTGTGAGTAATCAGAAAAATTCCTGGAAGAAGGGGAAAGAGAAGAAATGCCCACTGTTGTGTTTTCCAGTAACGTGCAGATATTTGTAAAATAATTGAATCCACTTCTTAAGAGTGGAAAAGCACCATCATCTGCTGGATGCACTAAATTGCTTTTGTTTTAGTGAGCAGTTCCTCACCTGATAGGTTCTTTCTATCCAGATCACCTCTGGCTGGATAAATTGATAATAATAATAATAGTTTTTACTATGTATGTTGCCTGTGTCTGCATAAAATGTTACAAATCCGAGGCCCTTGTAATTAAACCTTCAGACCAACATTGGACACATTTAGCATGCGTATTTTCCCAGCAAAGTCTTCCAAAATATCAAAATAATGCAAAGTCTTATAAAGAGAAAAAAACAAAAAACAAAAAACTCTGCTTGCATAGAATCAGAAGAGGAAGTTAAAGCCACAAAAGTAGCATGTGAGGTATCTATCTCTCAGACTTACTTTATGATCTGTGAAAGCCACCACCGCCATTCTCTAGCTTTTAATGGGAAATTGATTTCTCAGTGGATTTGAGGCTGCCAGTGATTTTCAAAGATGCACGAGATGAAAATTCTGGCAAAAATTAAAAATTGAGGGGCAGCATTAGTGAACAAACACAGAGAAAATTCATGTTCTCTATCTATCCAAACATTAGAAACTTTAAAAAAAAAGGCACTTCTTAAATTATTAAGAAAATAGAAAAATGCTAATACCTAGTGTTAACACACACACACACACAATGATCATTGTAAATTGAGGGCAATTTGGCATTGTGGAGGAAAACCTTTACAAATGAGCATTCATATCTTTTCAGCCAGCAATTCAACTTCGGGAAATGTGAATTTCCTGTACTGAAGAAAATAATTGTGAGAGGAGAGCGAGTTATCTGTATGGTGTTCAGTTTGGCATATATTATAGCACACAATTAGAAGCAAACCAAATAATGAATCATAGAAGAGTAAGTAATTACACTGTAGTACACTCAACAGAATTCTTTGCAGCCAGTGAATTGCAGCAACGATGGAGACTATGTAGCTGCAGAATTATATACACACTACATCTCTGACCATGAAAAGCATGTTTCTGCCTGTGGACCAAGCTGGAAGGGAAATGAGATCAGAGCTGCAGTAGGGTGAAATGATGGGTGTTTCCCATCTCTCTGTATTTTTCTTTCTTCTTCGTTTTCTTTTAGGAAAATACATGCTCTCTTAAAGATATAAAAGCAGAGCATCATATTTCGTTTCTGATAAAAATGCAATGTGAGACTTTGAGTAACATTTATTCCCATTAAAAAACACTTCTTTTTCCATAATTATTTACAGTGGAGAATGTATGGATGTTCACTTTAGAGTCAATAGTTTGAAACTTTCTCTTAATTGTCGATTCCCGTGCGGTTGTAAGAAATGATCGGGAAAGCTCCTGTGGCCCCGCACCCAGTTTCCCCCAACAGTATCACAAACAGGACAGTGACATTGATAAAATCCATGGACTTTATTCAGTGTTTTACATGCACCCCTTTGCCCTCTCTATGTACATTTCTTGCATTTTCTGTAAGGCCTGTGTGAGTATAATTTCTGAGAAAATTTCAGTTGGGAATAAAATGGGCTAAAGTAACTAGGTCTTCTGGTCCATTGAAGCAACTGAAGTTCCACAATCCACTCACTTCAAAAGTTGCAATTAGAGGGTGACTGTAATGTGAACATAGTTTTTAGTGGCATCATATGGTGGTGGAGAGATTTCTATTACTCTCTGACAGTATGCTGGCCACGGAGATAGAGCAGTTTTCTTCCTTCAAGTCATTATAGTGGCTCTGAGCCCTGGGAATCTGCAGTAGAAATGTATTTGTGCAAACAAGTGGGGCATCACGATGACTTGACATTTCAGCGATCCAACTGTCAAAGACAGTTTGATTTATTACATAATAAAAATCCTTTTACTTAATATGGCCACAACAGAAGGGACCCACACCAAGTGCACAGGTCCTTTTGCTGGAAAACGTTCCCTCAACAGAAGTGGAACCGTAACCAGGAGAAGGGGTCCCTGGTCTTGAGGGGCAAGCCCTGGGACACCGGTGTTCTGGGGAGGCTGTTGAAGATGGGGAGTCCATTGTGCAGGCTCCCCATCACCTTCTCGTAAATGAGAATGAACCTAGGCTGCCTGCACACTTCCAACTTCCTTCTGCAATGCTGAACTCCATTACTTATTCCTCCACAGGTACCTGTGAAATTGCATTAAAGCTCAGACAATGATTTTATGCAATGAATTGATTTTCAAGAGTCTAAATGCCCCGAATGGGATGTGCTCAGCTAGAAGAAAAAAATGAGAACTGCTCAACCTTTGATCACCCCAGTGTGGAACAGTAACAATTAAAGAGAATGGAAAGACAAAATATACAAGCACCATAAATTAAGGGCTCTTAGACCTTCAAATGCTGTGAAATTGACCTTCCTCTCAAAAAAACAAAACCACTTCCTATAGGAATATCTTCAAAACCTGAGCCATTAGAAAAGACCTTTTTAACTGTGTGATTGTGGGCTCCCCATGCCCATGTCAGACACAGTCGTGTATTATTTACCTCGTCTGTCATAAACTTGACTGAGACTTTACTGTGGCCGCCTCTCATTGCAAACCAGTCATGCTGGTTAGCTAGAGTGGTCCTAGGGACGGTCTTTTGCCAGAATGTTTTTTTCTTTTTTTTTTTTTTTTTAGGTTTTATTTAAATTCCACTTAGTGAACATACAGTGTTCTATCAGGTGTACAATATAGTGATTCGGCACTTCCATGCATCACCTGGTGCTCATCACTACACATGCCCTCCTTAATCCCCCTTACCTGTTCCCCCCGCCCCTCCCCCACTCTGGTCACCATCAGTTTGTTCTCTAGAGTTAAGAGTCTGTTTCTTAATTTGTCTCCTTTTTTTTCTCCCTCCGCTTGTTTGTTTTGTTTCTTAAATTCCACATATGAGTGAAATCATGTGGTATTTGTCTTCCTCTAACTGACTTATTTCACTTAGCATGATACGCTCCTGCCCATGTGCCCTACTTTGGCCTCCCACCCAGAGCAAATGTGGCACTAAGGCATTCAGGCGGTGGGAATAGCAATGACTTCTGGACTTTTCTGAGGGGTCATGCAGATGGCACTTGAGCTTGTCCTTTCTCTTCAAAGGTACGCGATGAGACTGAAGAACTTTGCGAGCCCCTTGGCTTCAGACGGGGACAAAAAGCTGGCGGTATTATGGTAAGTCTCATGAAGGCTGCAAAGAGGCAGCTGAAATGTCACAGAAGGATTTGGAAACTCCAGATCGACTTAAGCTGCTTACCCCAGATCATTATTCTTGTTTTCCATTAAACTATTAAAGGATAACTAATGGATTTCTTCAGTCGCTGACTAAACATTTACTCTCCTAATTTATACCCTTATCAAGATGGGATTTTAATGCTTACCTCTTCTCTTTGAAACATTTTTCTTTTTTCACTTCTGTTCCTCAGTAACCGTAGGGGAGTGAGCGTGAACTGTGAATCAGCATTTCGTTGCCAGTACGTAGCTTTCATGAAGCACCAACATTAACATAATCCTTTCCTCCTCACCACAGCTACAGATGTTTATCACTTCTCTACTTGCGGATGTTCAAGCTGAAGAAGGACCATGCTATGAAGTACTCCAGATCACTGATGGAATATTTTAAGGTAATCCTTATTTTGTATAATTTATAAGTACAGGGTGAATACAGTCACTAATGAGACGTGGCAAGCATGTGATTAAATGTCAAGGTTGTTGCTGCCACCGGCTTAACCTCTGTCATTCCAGCTGGCCATGGCCCTCCTGCCTCTCTCCCTTGGGGCTCAGCAGAGAGCTCAGGTTTGATTTGATTCCTGGAAGAGAAGGCGCAGTAGTGCGATCCCCTGATTATCTTCTGGACTGACCAAATGGCCCTTGGCATCTTCCTGGTTGCAGTCATGGGAATGATGGTGCCTCCTTCCCCACCCTGCCTGGTGGGGACCCACCAGGGGACACAGGTTGTGACCATGGCCAGTCTCCTGTGAAGTGAGCAGCCAGCCCAGAAATTTCTCAACAATGGGAGAGTTCACTGCAGCCGCCCTGGGCTCTGGGGGAATAACCATTCCCATGGGAGTCCTTTGGCCATGGGCAGTCTTGGAGTACAGTGGTTGTACTTTAAAACAACTGATCAATCAATCAATCAATCAATAATAAAATAAAATAAAACAACTGATTGTTCTGGTTACCAAAATGAACTATCACACAAACAACAAATAAACAAATAAATAAATAAATCCGTGGTCTAGGGAACTGGAGATTTTAATTTGCAAGCAAAAAAAAAAAAAAAAGGAAAAGAAAAGAAAAGAAAGAAATTTCAACTGCAAAATGAATGCCAAAATTTGGGAACGAGCCCAGACAAAAACTGCAAGCCACTAAAGGGTCACTGGTTTGATGGTCTCTGAAGCTTCTGCTTCATTTGCAACCCCCTGTGCCCCCCTCCCCCCCCCACAGTGGTCATGATTCAGATTTGAGGAGGCTCAAGGCTCCTGTTGGTCACGTCTTAAAGGAAAAGGATGATTATTTATTATTATTATTACTATTATTTCTGCCAAGTGCGTGAGACTGCTTGGCTAAATTGCACCAAAGCAGTTGTCTGAGATGAATCAAACCATGACCTTCACATTGGTCACCCAGATGCACAGCTGTATGAGGATGCCAACTCAGTTGGGAAAAAGAGCACGTCCGCCAGCTATTCCATGGTGTGGCCACAATGCCATAAAGCTGGTGCTCCTGTGGGTGACGCGTCAAATACAACAGCTGCCCATCCCCCCCAAGTGTACGGTCTCCACCTATGCTGTAGAAAGGCAGTTCTCGAACCTGAGTGGGCATCTGGATCCCCTGGAGAGCTCGCAAACCCTGAGTCCTGGGTCCCACCCCCAGAGTCTGACACTGGAGGCCTGGGACAGGGCCTGAGAGCTGGCACATGTAACGAGTTTCCAGGTGATGCGTCCTGCTGGTCTTGGGCTTACGCTTTGAGAGCCCCAGCTCTAGTATCTGTCCTCTTTGGCCTGTTCTTTGTGACTTTCAGGGCACTGTAAAAATGCCAAACAGATGTCAAATAACTCACTCCTCTGGCAGCGCGCTGAGCTGCTTTTAGATTAAAAACCTTAGGTGTGGGTCTCCGTGCTCCAGAGAAGTGTTGCCTGCTCACTGGGCTCCTGAAAATGCCTGACCCTCCCTAGCACCCCATTTGCAAAGGGGGCTGGACTGGAACCCAAGAGGCAGGGGAGAAGTATAACCTTGGTCTTTGCGGTTGAAAAGGCCAGCCTGAGTCAGGCTCAGTGCCCCGGGGGTCCTGGTCCTGTGCACTCTGGGCTCTAACCTGGTGACGTCATTATGGTGAGCTGGACCACTGCCCTAAGGTGGTGGTGCTGAGTGCTCTGCAAGTATGTGGCCCCCCAAAAGCAGGAGGCCAACTTTTGAAACTAGCCCAGTTCCATTCAGAGGGACAAAGAATTCTTAGCAGTCCACAGCAATGCTGCCCCAGACCAGTTGCTTTGCTAAACAGGGATCTGCGTGTAAAGATAGCAAATCAAGGTGATTCACGATAAAACAAACCACAAAACACTGCTCCGTCCTGGCCCATTCCCGGGATGTCAGAAATTACAGCCCACGTTGCATCCCAGGGAAAAATTCTGCCGTGGGAGCTAAAGGTGAAAAGCTTGCCAGTACTCTGAAGAGCTCGTTTTGCAGAATAAATTTCAGATGAGGATAATTAAGCCACTTCTTGGAGAACGGAGTCTGATTTTACTGGGCCTTTTAGTATATAAGATCTTTCATCGAGTGACTTGCACGGTCCTGATTGGAGCCTGCTAATTATCCTACCCAGCTATTTTCATCGAGTGTGTGTCATGGTGTGCTGACGTGCACTTACATCCCAGCTCAGCTAACAGAACAGGAGGCATCCCGAAATGCTGCAATCAATATTAATGTACTCGAAATCACACTTCCATCTGTTTCTGAATTAATAAAACACAAAATAGATGTCCTTATTTCCCTCTCTCTCTCTCTTTTAGCAAAACGCTTCAAAAGTCGCTCAGATACCATCTCCCTGGGTAGGCAATGGAAAGTAAGTATCTTATGAAAATTGCTTTTTCAGAAACTCAGCGAATTAGGAGACCCCAAATATTTTGTATTGACAACTCAGGAGTGAAGGCCAATTCTGAGACTAGAGTCATTTTTGTGCACAGGAAATTCTGGTCAGATTTCAGCTAACGGCAAGACAGAAAAGTTTAACATGATGCGATTCCCAATTTCTTTAACTATTTGGTCTTTAAGCCAAATGATGGCCATAAAAATATCTGTTAATGAGATGGCAGTGATTTTTCAATGATTCACTCGGTAATGAAAGGCCAATGAAATATTCATTGATACATAGTAAGTGCCGTTTAATAAAACCAAAGGCATAATAGTGTTGGGAATGTGAAGGCACTTAGCCTTCATGAGCCTTCATGGTGATTTTTATATTAATACTAAAACACCCTGACCTAAAATACATAAAAGCATCCACTCTACTGCTGATCTACTGCTGATCTAAGGCTCGGTGGACTCCCCCACTCCCTCCACTGCCCATAGTTGCAAGAGCATCCACCTGGTCCTGAGGCTGTCCCTAGCTGCCAGGGGAACTCCAGGAGGGACGGGGCTGGGGTGGGGGCGGGGCTCGGGGGCCCCTCCCCCGCACTGGGCATGTTTCTCCAGCTCTAAAAGGAAAGGGCTGGACCCCTTGGCATCCGAGGCCCAAGGCCCCGGGTGAGAGATGTTCCTGCTAAGAGGGAGATTTGGAAGCCCAGGTCTGTCTGTGGCGCAAATTGGCTCCGTGCCTGCCCTTCCGTGCTTGAGCATCAGTGTTCCGTCTGATTCCAGTCCCTCCCTCACCACCCCGGGCCCACTTGCCACCACCAGTGGGAAGGGAAGCTCCATGACTACAGACCCAGGCTTTGGCAAAGAGCTGCTTTTTCCATTTTTCATCATTTCAAAATTCTTGTGTCTCTGGTCCATACACTTTCTTCCAGCGTATTCTAGTCTCCTCTTGCCATTTTATAAATATCTACAAAGCATACTCCCAAAGCAGTGGGGCATGAACTCTACATTGAGATCATAAAAACATTCAGAGTGAGGGAACAGACCCATTAAAAACTCTGCATTAACTCAATTACTGTATTGAAAGGAAGTACCGTTTAAATTGTTAAGTCTTACTTTTATATTGACAAACAAAAGCAAAAGAATGCTTCTCTCTGGAAGTTGAGAAAATAAAAATAACCATTGAAAGGCCCAGAGAAAGCTATTTTCTCTGAGCACAGAGTAGAGCGAGGGCAAGTTCAGGTAAGCAGCTATTAAAGGATTTCTGGGAAATTTCTTTTAATTCTGAAACGAAAGAACTCGAACACATCCTAAGCTTGTGAAGTCACACTAAAAGCCTCCTGAAAGGATGTTTTAGGCAGCTTCTGTGTGAAGAAAGCACACTCCCTTTGGTAGGCCAGAGAGGTTGTGAATGAAGCAACTCCAAATGGTCACCCACAGGTTACCTCCCTTTCATTCAGCGAACACCTCAGGCACATTTCCATACAAGGGGCTGGGGGCACAGCTGACTCCAGTGGGATCCCTGCGCTCCAGAAGCACACAGTCCAGTGGAGGGAGGTGACAGATGGGAACGAAGTTCTATGGAAGCCCAAGAGAAGAGGAGCTTGGGCCTCCCTGGATGGTCAGGGAGGGCATCTTCTATGCAAGCGAGGCCATAGCCTACTTTCCCCAGCACACGAGGGTGGCTGGCACCACACAGGGCCTGGAAGGGCATCTTCCAGAAGCAGCAACCCCAGACCATGAGGCCTGGGGGAGAAAATTTACAAAGAAGCAGTTGGAAGAAGGAGAAGAACAATCTGCTTAGTACTGAGCAGGGATTGGCAAACTTTTTCCGAGGCTTAGAGGTAATATCTGAACACCATGCTTGGCACACAGTAACTTTACCATTTGAGCTGGAAAGCATACACTGTCCCACCCCTAGAACTCCCAGAGCTCTTGGTGTATACTTCGCCTTGGGCACTTATTCTAGCTTGTCAGAAACTCATGGGTCTGCTCCCCTACTAGGCCATTTGCTCTTCCCAATAAGGGGCCATTCATTCTTTCATTTGCCACCTATTTACTGAGTGTGTACTATGGATGATGAGACACTCTGCCAGGCACTTGATAGACACACCCCCATCATCTTGTGCTATATGTTATTCTCCTACCCTCTCCAGAGCCTCTCTATGTAGTGGATACTAAGCAATGACAAAGGGATGGTGGAAGACAGTTCATTCATTTATTTAACATTCATTAAGTACATAGGATGTGCGCCAGGCACTGGTCTAGACACTGGGTATAGACATAGACAGAAATCCCTACCCTCCTTGAGGTCACATTCTGTTGGAAAGAAAAAGTAAAAACTATGTGGTTTGCTAAATGGTGGCAAAGGTCATAGAACAAATGGAAACCAGGAAGGGGGATAGAAAGCTTGGCTAGGGATCACGTGGGGAGCAGGACACCTATCTTGAATTGGGGACGTTAGAGAAGGATGGTGGAGAGCAGTCCATGTAAATACCTGGGGGGGATGCATTCCAAGCAGAGGGACAGCAATCACCTTCCCAAGTGGGCTGTGCCTAATGAGTCTGACAAACAGCAAGGGGGCGAGTGTGGCTGAGATGTGGATTGGACCAGTGTGCTAATGGTGAAAGTGGTGGGAAGTGGGTGCCTGTGTGTGTACCCTCATTTGCGTGTGCCATGAAGGTGTGAAGAGAAAAACAAGATCTACAAGTAGACCCACAGAAAGAAAATGGGACAAGGAACCTCAAGCTGTGTGGAGAGCCAGGTGGGAGTGGGAGGCCCCCCGAGATGAGTGCAGCATCACGCCCTTGTAGCCAGAGTCACAGCCTTCCTTAGGCAGGTTGGAATTCTTTCATCAGTACAATGCGGCCTGCAGATACGCTCATCGGGAGGTCACTCCTAGAGCCTCGTGTAAGATCCGCCATGACCAAAAGCAAACCCATGCCCTAATTCCCCTTGCCTCCACTACTGATTGTTATTGTTTACAAGAAAGTAGGCAGTAAGAGACAAAGATAGCCCTTCAGTTAGCACGTGGATGTCATAAGCTAAAAAGGCCTTTTCAAGATGTACAAAGTAAATAGAGGTGATGTGTTTCCCCTTGTGACTTCTGGACATGATCAGAAATCACTGAATCCAACCTTTTCTTTGAGTCAAGGAAAGGCTCAGCAAGGGGAAGGGACATGCCCAGGAGCACACAGCCATTTAGGGCAGGGCCAGGGTTAGAATACAAGTCTCCTGGGATTCCAGTACATACTCTGTTCCCAGCACAGCACGGTTCCCCTTTCAACATTTGAGACACCTGACAGCTTTGGGATTTTTCTCTAGCCATTACAAATGAGGACATACTCTTTTCTTGCCTTAAGTTGGCATCTAAGAGTTAATGACCACTACTCGGAGAAAAGAAAATAGCATTTGCAAGCAACCACAACAAAGAAATCCAGCATTCACTGCCTGTTTTGTGTGTGTGTGTGTGTGTGTTTTGGGGTGGCTTTTTTTTTTTTCTTGGTCTTTAGTTAACCCTTACGTGCTTAGGCTCCTTAGCTTGGACATCGCCCCACTCCACCCCTGCCTTGAGAATAAATCTTTCCATCGAGAAGTTTCAAAAGGTCTTAGAAATTATAAACAGAACAGGAAAACTTTCACACCCTCTCACAGACAAATGCAGAGCAAGTGTGAGGATCCCCTTTGCCCCTCATACTAGAACATACCAGAAGATATACTGTGTTTCCAGAAATGGACCAAAGCTCTCACAGGGCCTGGCACACCCCACATGAGTCTCGAGGCAAGTGTATCGATTTGAGTCGCTCCCAAATTGAGTTAGCAATACTCCAGCCATTGCCCCAGATCTTGTGTTCACGTGCCCATTGGGGTGCACATCCGCTCTGTGAGCACCGATCGGCTCTGAGGAACACAGCCAACCTGGAAATCTAGAGTTACCAGCAGCCACAGCTGGGAACAGCGAGGGGGAGTGACAGGCTGCCTTGATGATCTGCTGGGTGTATTTGGAGGAACGAGGAGGAGCCCCAAACACAGCTTTCTCCATTTCTTCTACTCCCCCAAAATGTTCTATCGTAACAACGTGGCACGCTGGGGCACCACTGGACAGTCTTTCGAAGTCTCGTTGAAGGAGGATAGGAAGGCTGAGGGGGTGCATAGGCCTTGCTCACGTGCACAGGAAGCACCCAGGCCCTCCCTGATATGTGCAGATTGCAGGGGACTCCTTGTTGCTGACATTAAAGTATTGAACCACAATCTATATCCAGACCTTGGTTCTGCCCAAATAGGACCTGCAAAGACTTCTCTTCGTAAACAGCATGCAGGTGAAGGGTCAGCAATTAACAGCCATCTCTGTAGCATGTCTTTGAGAATCTCAAAGATTATTCAGAATCTTACTTTTTCTGGCTTCCCTAATACTGCTCCTTGGGGGGCTTTCAAGAATTGCACTTTGTTTATTGTGGTGACTGTATTTGGAGCAAATTGTCATTGCGGTTTCCACAAAACACTTTGATAATAGCCTTTCCTAGCTGCCACTAGCCATCTGGCAGCAGGTAGAGAAATCAGCACAGCTCTGAGATGTGTCTTCCTCTGAAACCTCACAACACTGGTTATATATATTCAAAATAAGAGCTACATGTGTGGATAGGATGAATGCCAGAGAAAGATTCACCCAGCTCTCTCTGCTCTCTTAAAACGAAAGAAGCAGTGTGGATGGAGTCACCAGGGGTTGTCAGAGGCAGGGAGACATCAGTGTTCAACTGAGTTAGAAAAGGAGAAGCATGGCTCATTCTAGAGCCTGGCCCTGTAGCCCTGTGTGGGTTGGTCAGACAAGGCCAGAATGCGATGATAATCAATAGGCTCTTTCTACTCTGGGGCCTCTAGAGAAAACTAAGGTGTTGGCAGAAACTACAAGATGTCTTCTGAGAACAAGCTTCTCCACACCTGGGCTTCATATATGCTCACCACGCTAAACCTCATGCGGCAGTGACATTCTCGTGAGGCCTCAGCATGGGGAGGGAGGCCTAGAAGGCCACAGTCACTCTTTGCAGCCAGCCTCACCAGGCCTGTCTCTTCCCCTTCCCCCAGGAACACTCCATCCCCGGTGTCTCTCAACAACGTCTCTCCCATCAATGCAATGGGCAGCTGTAACAACGGCCCGGTCACCATCCCCCAGCGCATTCACCACATGGCCGCCAGCCATGTCAACATCACCAGCAACGTGTTACGGGGCTACGAACACTGGGACATGGCCGACAAACTGACAAGAGAGAACAAAGGTATGCTTACCTGTTCCACCCACACTCATGGACCATGGTAGGGTCAACCGTGCTTGGAAGCACTTGAGTTTTCCATGGTGGCCTTGTCTTTCTGTCTCTCTGATTTCCAGGGTATAGAGGAGGCAAGAAGGGGTTAACTCAGGGCCAACAGAGTAACCACATTTTTGCTGAGAGAGTAAGCAAGTCCTGGGATTTTTTTTCTTTTCTCCTTCAAAGCTTAAACTAGTCTGAGCTGTGACATGTTGGCAAATGACCATTTCAGATTTTCCCTCAATGGTAAGGATCAGCACGGAAAAACAGAGGCAAAGGAGAAAAGAATGATTTGCAAATTAATTAAGATCCCGTTGGCCTCTTTTGTCAACTTTAATCTTTTGGGTTTGTTTTGGGGGGGGGTTGTTTTTTTCTTTTTTTGGAGAGGTGAGGTTGAACTGCAGGCCTGCTACTTTCATTACAACCACCGGCTCCAGGGAGCACGTGATGACACGGCTCGTGTTCAGAAGCAAAGGCCAAAGCTCAGCTGGTATTTTTTCCACACTGACAGCTGGGATGAAGGATCAGGGTCCCGTTCGTGGTAGCACATGGGCTTTGCTACAGAACAAATGCAGGGAGGACCCTGCTGCACCAGAGGGTGAGTCAGTGGTCTCTGGCAACTCCTGCCGCCATCTGTGACCCTGGCTGTCGCCTAGGTTCACAGGGAAGTCTCGCTATCCTAATGAAGGTGGGACGCACAAGCAGACTGCACTCTTGCCCTGGCCATTCGTTCGGCTTGGCTGATCCTGGCCCAGTAGTCACAGACAGTCAAGGTGGGCTTTGGTGTGGGCCTTTGGGAATCAGACAGCGAAGAGGGGCCCCGCAGTTTAGAAGAGCGGAACTGTCTGGCCAGGAACTGGGAGGCATATACATTGCTACTGCGGTGCTGACTGTGTGGAGAGTCCCACCGAAGTAGGAAGGGTGCCGATTTTGAAGGCTGACCATTTAAGTTGGAATCCTGCCTGGGTCATGCAGTGCTGGGCAACCTCAGGCAAGTTACTCAAATCTCTGAGCCACTTCCTAGCTTCCATTTCTGTAATGGAGATAATAACGTATGGAGCCACTAGCATAAAATAGCAGGTTCAAGGTAGAAAGCCAGCAAACATTTATTCACTTACTCCATATTATTATGTATCTATGTGACTCCAAGATTCTGTGGCTATCAGAGCACATTCCATAATCTGAGACTTCGACCCACAACCCGGCTAGAGACTTACACTGACCCTTGGGACTATTCACAGGTATTGGTTACATCAGTACCTGGGAAGAAATCGGGCCACAATTTCCACATGCCAGATACTGTACTATTTGCCCGATCACTTGTTGCCTCATTTGTCCCTGTTTTGTAGATAAGTGAGGCAAGGTTAAGAAACTCACCCCTGACATCATAGCTCCTAACCCTGGAAGCAGGAATTGAATCTAGAACTCTGAACCTCTAGGCTACACTGCCCATCAAGAGAGCGAGATTAATAAGAGGTCCTCAGAGATCTTCAGTGAGCTCCTGCCCTCAGTTACCTGAGTGATGGGCACTTCTCTACTTCTCTAAGCTTCTGAAATTCCAAAGACAACTGGCCCAGATGGCCAGGCCCATCCAAAAGTTCTAGAAGTGCAAGTAAAAGCATAAGCATCTTAAGACTTGCCTAGCTTGTCTGCCTCTACTCTTCTCTCTTATTTTGTATTGGTAACTGGAGGGTAGTTCAATATTTATGGATTTCTGTCATAATTGCATCCATTTTCAAAATCTGCTAAAGTAATTCCTTCAAAATTAACCACAGAACTTTCCAGGAGTGATGTGGTGGCTGTGCTGATATTAAGGGAAATGGAGCTCATCTTGTCCTTAGCACAGCATGTCAGGAGTTGTTAAATTCCCCACCTAATACTCCATCAGAACAGCTCTGCACTCTGCTTAGAGTCAGAGAGCCTTCCCCCATCTGTCTTGTCCACATAGAGATGGGTAACTGAGGAGCTTCCCTTTTGATTGTTACTCTGGATCCCACTGGGGACAACCATGTCCTTGCACTCCCCCACCCCACTCTGTGCCTGCCCACCCGTGCAGCTGCAGATGGCTTCTGGCAGAGGACTCTGGTGCTAAAATCGGCCAATGGGGGTGATGCTGCTCCCTGGCCTTTGGTCTAGAAGCTCTGTTCCCTACCTCCCCAGCTGCTTACTCAAAGCTGCTATTAAAATGGTGACTTGGTGGGGGCACCTAGGTGGATCCATTGGTTAAGCGTCTGCCTTCAGCTCAGGTCATGATCCCAGGGACCTGGGATTGAGTCCCACATGGGGCTCCCTGCTCAGCGAGGAGCCTGCTTCTCCCTCTGCCCTTCCCCACTGCTCGTGATCTCTCCCTCTCTCTCTCACGCTCTCTCTCTCAAATAAAATATTTTAAAAAAATAAAAATTAAATTAAAAATTTAAAAATCAAAAAAAAAATGGCAACCTGGGTATCTAGTGCACAGCATCCTGGCTCACGTGTGGCTCATGTTCACTCAGCAGTGACTAGGTCCTTTAGCATTTCCCTTAATATTGTGTTATATAAGGAAGTATTTCAGATGCCAAAAATAATTTACTCCTTTATCAGCAGAAATTACTTTTATTGCATAGTACAGGTTTAAAAGTATCACATAATCAAATGAAGTCGATACCTAGAGAAGGAGCCCATATGTTATACATAACGTGAAGAATCAGTGCATTGTTTTGTGAAATACCATCTGCTGGTCAATCAAGCGCGTGGAGCCCCTGCATGCAAATCGCCTTCCAAGAAGGCGGGTGAGCATCCCAACCACTTCAAGGTAGCCTTCAGCACACACTACCCCCTCCGCTGCCACATTCCTCGCGCCAACCAGAACAGGCGTGACGTCCTCCTGGCTGGGGCTGCCTCCTCTGTCGGGAGCTGACAAAGAGGATACCCGAGAGCCCTCTCATAACCACGATCAACACAATGGTAGACAAATAAGTGCAGACGTGAAAAGGGGACGCCCAGATACTTTTCTAGACATCAGATAGTCTTTTCCACATACCTCCCACCCCACTCCAAAGCAGACCGTCCCAAACTCCAGCCCCAGTGGTTAGCAGTGTGGCCTCGGCTCGGCCCCTTCTCCAAATCAGCTGGAGGGGAATCAGCCCGGTTACTCTTACCTTCTGTGTCCTTCAAGGCGAGGAGGGAGTTGTTAGCGACAGGTCATTTCCCTTCCCTAAAGGAATTGGTAATAAGACCCGAAATCAGATGCCTTCTAGACGTTTATTTAGCGTTAGATGCTGATGGCTATAATTGCTGTCCAGGTTCACTGGCTATGTCTGCATCATGCACGCAGTCTATACATTTTTGTTGAATGAATGAAGAAACAGATTTGAATGAATTTGTGTTTTATTAATCACAGTAACACAAACATGATTTATGTAGCTCCAAAAATTCAGGGAAAACTTTTCCAATGTCCACATAGTTGTGTTGTCGCGTGAAGGCAGCTTAAGCCATCTGGTGTGTATTTCTGTGATGATATTCAAAGGCCTGACCAAGGTCTGCTCTGATTTTCAGAATTCTTCGGTGATCTGGACACACTGATGGGGCCCCTGACCCAGCACAGCAGCATGACCAATCTCGTCCGCTACGTTCGCCAGGGACTGTGTTGGCTGCGCATTGATGCCCATTTGTTGTAGTGGGTGCGCCCCCATCTCCAGCATCGCCACCCATCACTCTACCTCTACCAGAGCACCAACGGTCACTGGTGGAACTCCACTCATTTGGGAAAGTTCTCTTTGCTTATGTTTGTTTTTATGCTTCTTTTGATATCTGTGAAAAACAGAAGTCATTGTAAGTGGACACTACAACTTGAGAGCAGTATATGTTTTATTACTTAGTCATTTTTCAGTATTTTATATGCATTTCTCAGATCCCACCATCCTTTTGTGCTTGATACAATGACACAGTCCCTACAGTATTGTTTTAAGTCCACACTACCCAAAACAAAGAATGGGAAGTACTTGTGATGATAACAGGTTCCTGAGAAATGAAACGATATGTCATATATATATATATATATATATATATATATATATATATATATATGAACTTAGACACAAAGGACCTACTAAGATTCAAATTTTCCGCAATAGCCATTCCCCAAACTATACTCTTATGTCCAGAAAAGAACGTATTTCAGAATCCATTTTAAACTTTTGGGGTTCCCACGACTCAGTCTCCAGGTGAGAATTTTCATTGTCAAAACCCACTGGTTAGATGTTGTAGCCACATCATAAAATCAAGAGTATTAAGAAAACAAATAAGTATAGCAATGGCACTCTTAAAACAATACTATGGCAGACAACCAGAGGACTTTCTTGCTGACATCCCTTCCCTGATGCCCTATTTTTAAAATTTTAATGAGATGAAGTGGCAACATTGATTTCGACAACTTTAAGACATCGGCTGGCATTAAATATCTTGGAACTCCTTGATCTGAAGCATAAATCCTCACCTGGGATTCTCTTTTGTGTAAAGCTCTCCTTTTGAGGGGCAGTTAAGTGGGTGCATGCCCTAGGTGCCAAAATACTGCACTCTGGTTTTAGAGATGAGAGATGAGGAGAGGTCTGGAAATGTCCAAGGAACTCATACCTCTGCATCTTTGCAGTTGGTAGGCAGGTCCATTACTGGCAGGATATTTTTATTGTATTCTGCTCAAATCTCTGGAAACAAAAGTCAAGTTATCACTACCTAGGAGTTAGAATATACAGTTCGCTTCCAATTATAATCCACATTTTCTAGTTCACAGTGTTTCTCCTCCTCCTCCTCTTCCTCTTCCTCCTCCTCTTCCCCATCTTCCTCCTCTTCTTACTCCTCTTCCTCCTCCTCCTCCCTCCTCTTCTTCTCCTTCTCCTTCTCCTTCTCCTTCTCCTTCTCCTTCTCCTTCTCCTTCTCCTTCTCCTTCTTCTTCTTCTTCTTCTTCTTCTTCTTCTTCTTCTCCTTTTCTTCTTCTTCCTCTTCCTCTTCCTCTTTGATCTTTCTTTACCTTTTTTGGAGCTCATTAGCTTTTGACTGAAATACTGAAATCACTGATGTTATTAAAGTCTATATTAACATAAATCATTTCCATGAACATTCCAGAGAAAACTCCAAACTCTCTAAGTAGTGGCTAGCCCTTTAACAAAAAATGAGTCTTGGGGTAATGCTTCACCCTAGGGTGCTTTGAAAGAGCCCTGAAGATTGGCAACAGCTCACTTAATTTGGAGACATTTCCACATCACTTGTAATTATCCCCACCCCTTCTGATCCTCCACATTCATTTTATGTCCCCAAACATCACCATGTAAATATCATCTTTGGTGTTCCATCTCACCAGAAGAATCCCTCACCTGTAGTCAACACTAGTCATACATTAGTTCTTTATAATTACCTGCTGGTATATAATTCCACGTCGCCTTGAATCTGTTGAGTTTATTGAATTCTGTTCACTGAGCGATGACCAGATAAATAGTAGACATATGCACATGAAAGGTGCAAACTTGTATGATTCTTAAAGCCTGTCATGCAAGTCTGTGATAGGAACAGCAAGGGATCACCCTGCACTCTCATTGTCAAGGTTAAGATACATTCCCAATTGCAAAAGAGCCAGACTCAAGCTCCGCTCTGGTCATCGTTGAGTTTAAGACCCTTTTATAATAAGGTTGTGGAAGTTGTACTCCAATGGCTGAGGCCATGTTGTCAGGTGACTGCTGGGAGCATCCCAGCAGCTGAACCCACCACTTTCTATGCTCCCAGTGTGGTTGAGCTTTACATTCGCGGTCTCCGCAACAACACACACACACATACAGACGTGCACACAAATGAAACCTGAGAGAATCTTCTCTGAGCCTCTTAAATGGGGAAAATGATAATATGAAAGACTCCAAACATCCAAGGTGGGTGTCACATATAAAAATTAAGCTGATGGTTTTGCAGTGACTCAAGTTCTCTGTTCATTTTTCCATGGCTTACCAGGTAGAGTGCCTGACTATTACTATATAATGAAGCCCACTGGCTTGACTTGTAAGTTCAACCTAAACCACGATCCTAGACCATCACAGATTTAGGGGTAGATTCTTCTTGAAATTCAGTCTCCAGAAACTAGACACTCGAACGCTAGGGGCAGTTTCCAAAAAGAAACCAGCATCTTGCCTCGTGGATGAAAGACCTGTAGCTCTAGTTTCAGCGAGTCCTTTTATCTACTTTACATACAACAGGGAGGCAGCAGAGAATCCCGCTGCCTGATGTCACCTCGGGTGGCTGACTATTATACAGTGTGTGCCCAATCAGCAACACAATGATCAAATCTGACAGTTGAGTCCAGGATCACCACCTGATTATTTAGCAGACCCATTTGTAAAGCAGCTTAGAAGCCAATTAAACATGGAGGAGGAATGGCCTTCCTATCCCTGGAGATGAGACGGTCTTTGGTTTCACGATTAAGGATTGTTGCTGTTTTCTAGGTGCTGTAGCCATCACATTGTGAATGGTGATGTGTGTCGTAGGTGTGCGGCTTATGTGAGGGACTGAGATATTTTGTCAAGTAAATCTCTTCAGTGTACCAGTCTGTGGGAGGGATGTAGGACATGTGGATGGCAGTGAGAGATCCTGCCTGGAGACCTTGACAGAGGCTTGGTGAGACACATCTCAATGAGCACACGGAGGTAGGGGAATGGGCAGAGTAATGGGAAGCTCCACCTGACACAGAAGGATCTCGGCCCTGCTACGTGACCCAGGTAGGGCCACCACTATGCCTTCTTTTGTCACCCAAGCTCCAACCACAGGGAGTTTGACAAGTTCGTGTGAGGATGTTGGCTTGGCTTTGTATTTTTAATTAACTTTGGATTTTTTAGTGGTTTTGTCATATTACTGTCTGAGTTTGGTAGGTAGGATTAATTTGGAAAAGAGTATACTAGTGTGGTCCTCGGGGTAGAATTTAGCCGTAAGCATGTTGTTAGCCAGCCTGTAGACTGTTAATTACTTAATAATCTCATTGGGAAAATACTCGTAGTTTTATATTTGGGTGACATAATTGGAAAAGCAGATTAGCTGCTGCTAACTTTTAAAAGACTTGAGGTTGACATAAAAAATTCCAAATCTTCAGTCAATAACCAAGTTGCTAAATTGGAAACCATTGGCTAAAATGTGTTTTGTTGAGTTTCCAAATGTCCGGATCTGCATTTGGACATTGCACCGCTAAATGCATTGGAAAGATACTTGCTCTGGCGTATCTTTCCCAAAGCTGTCTGATTCGGAGTTAGTTTTATTCAGATTTGCATCCTGGAGGTTGAAGTTGGAGTATGAAGTTGGAAAGCATTTTTGAAGGCAGAATCAATTGAGCTGTGAGGGCTCCCCCCTCACGTACTTCTCAACAGACATGATAACATTCACCTGCGTGAATTGGCAGGTGCGAGAACCAAACTGGATTGCTGGGTAGGACTACTCAGTAAGGCAATGAACTCCTTGCTTAGAGAAGCATCACTATCCCCATTGAGAAACTGTGTGGCGAGACAGTGTAGCTACACAATATCAAACGAATGGGTTGATTCAGTGCCCCCAGATTCAATTCTGTGGGGGAAAACTATTGAGCCAGTTGTCACTGCTCGGTTATGCAACTGGCAGACTAAACTCCTCTTCGTCGTTATGGTTGTCGTTGTTGTTGTTGTTGTTTGTCATTTCCACCCGCACAGCCTTATTCTCATAATTAAACCCTGATTCATTTTCTCTTTGGTGTTAGCAAACTCCAACAGCAGAGATGGCATCTGTGTATTGATAATTGGCATTTACCCTGGCAGGAGGCTAATCGGATAGGCTGGTCTCAGACGTTAATCCTACCATCTGATATTTTCAGGGAAAGAAAAAGTAATTCCCTTTCCATTCTCCTCCTCACAAATCTGGAAGCCCTCTTTACCAAGAGCATCACATTTTCCTCCATAATCCATCGACTCAAAATTGCATTGTGGGGAGGGCAGAGGGGGGTGGGGTGGGGGGGTGGAGGGTAGGGAAGTCCTTCCAGGCCAGGCTGCAGTTCTTGCCCCTTTCTGCTTCTGACATGAAATGTTAATGAATCATTCATCAGGCTCACATTGGGTTAGGGGACACTGAACTGCTTTTCCGATCCATGATCAATCATCGTTCTTCTAAGAGATTGGAGCTTTGCTGTTTCATTAACTGTGCAGTGTAGACTAATGGTGTTTAATAAAAATCATTCAAAATTTCAAACTCTTTTGCCAGTGACCTCGATTTTGTTGGCTCTTTGCTTTGTACTAGACTTTGAGGAGGGACGGGGGAAGCAAAGGAAGCCTGCTACTGGGCACCTGGCAAACCCAGTGGCCCCCAGCACTTGCTGGTGAGCGGCGGCAGCATGCAGACCAGCTGGGGGAAACCTCCCGAGGAATGCCACAGTGGATGCTTTCAGCCGGGGATAGCTTGTTCCTACTGAGGGACTCATTGTTCTCCAGCCTCAGCAGCAGGAAGCCAGCTGCCATATCCGGAGCTTAATAAGAACTGTAAACGCTTTACCTATTTGGTTTTGGCCCGCACCACTCATGTGGCCACCAAATAGGAGAAGTATCTCTGAGAGGAGAGCCCAGGGGGTGACAGCGGTAGCCAAATGCATCCCAGATGCTCCGGCCTTCTTTGAACTCGGTGGCGGAGGAGCTCCGGGCAGGAAGCAGAATTGGAGAAACCCCCAAACAGGCTGAGTTGGTGCCGCGTTGGCCAGATGGAGAGCTAGCTTCTCCTTCGGTCAGCCTGGCATGCAACCAGTGGTGTACTGGTAAAATGTTTAACAGCCAGCCCTCTGAGAACAGAAAGCACCTGACTTACTTGTAGGGTTTGCCAATTTCTGTAGTGTAAATATCCCCACCTGGCTGATCTCGAGCCACTACGATGTCGCAGATCGCAGAGTTGGGAAGAGATGCACGCAAAGTTGGGAGCACGGGCAAGACAGCTCCAACACACTACTGAATGCAGCCTTCCAAAGAGGGTTCTGATTTCACATTTTTCATGTGGACGCACGCGTGCAAACAGCCATGCACACATGCATACACTTGTGTGACAAGCTGTTTCAACCCTTTCAAATGTGAATGGGTCCTCTGTGAATATAGGTAGTTTGTGATACAGCCCAAGAGGTATGGATTTTAAGCAGGAGAAAGCTAAGAAGAATGGCCTCTTGAGACCAAAGCATAGACAAATGGGGGTAGGGGGGTCATCACATCTCAAAGGAAAAACAGCAGCGAGATCAGCCCTTGGAAAACCTATATGGTTGGTTGAAAATAGGATCAGTAAGTGTTCTTTTATCATTATTTTGTAAATGTCCAACTGGAATTTCTAACTTGTAAATGTAACTTGGATAAATTATTTACTCTTCATCCTTCTGATGACAACCTCTGTGTAGTTAGGAAACATTAGGGCCTCTATGGAGAATAGCACAATCCAAAATGCATTGTGTTGTTTTCTCGTAATATGGAAACTCAGTATTTCTCCCACCTCCCTCTTGTTGTTCAGAAGATTTTTACTTTAGTTATTAGAGATCGAAGTTATGTGTTTAACATGTGTTTTTAGTTAAAAGTGTCTACTTACTGTCCTAGCTCTGAATTCAAACCAGGATGTCTCCCGTATCAATTACATGACTAATACTCAGAAATGATCATCCAAACCAAAATAATTCCCTTTTCTACTCAATATAAAGAAAACCAGGGTCACTAACAGGAAGGCATAAACCTCTTTTAAGAGAGTGAGGTTTTCATTAAACACACACGTGCGCGCGTGCACAACTTTTTTTTTTCTTGGGCCTCCTCATTATAAATCATCCTGAGGGTAGAATAGAAAGTCTCAAAGGACCCATTCTCCTGGTCCTGTGCATCTTCTGCAGTTAATAAGAGGTCTGTGTCTGGAAAGGTTGAAGAACTTGCCCTACAATCCTATTATTCTTTAAACATTTCTATGTTCTGTCTGAGCCCGTGCCCGTGGTCGAATGTTAGCCCTGGAGGAGACCCATGTCCTACTCTTTCTTTCTGGCCTTTCTCTCTTTTGCCCCTGTGGTTCCTTCTGTGGCCAGTACAATAACAGAGTGGCAGGGGGTCTTCTGTCTCCTCATGGTATTCGGGCAACGTTTGTCCCACTGGAGAATGGTAACATCTGGGGCTGGTCTAATTGACATTTCACTCACACAGGGACTCAGAGTCCCCGTAGGCAATGGACCAGTTTGCATGGATACAGAGAGCGAGAAAGATGTTCATCATCATCTGGTGATTGCCTATTTCAAAACCATCCTCACTAATCAATCATATTCACCCACAAATATTACAAATGAGATCAATTCTGTCTCAAGACAATTTGTCAAATAGTTTTCTTCCTGGATGATTCAAGACTCGGGGTATTTTAGAAAGAGAAATGTCTGAGATGAAATCCCTCACATTTATTTAATTCTACAAATTGCTGTTTTTATTCCTGTGTTCATCGGAGTAGTGCTTCTGGAGATTGTTTGATGTGGTGTTGTCTTCAGATAAAATTAATACATCTAAAGTGAGCCCAGTATCAATACCATGCTCATAATGCTCCTTGGGATCCGAAGATACCTAAAATTCTTCCCCTTGGCACACTTGGTTAGTTGAGTGACATGTCGTTCAGATCCTCCAAAGAAAAGTCTGGTTTCTTTTCTGGTTTTGTGGTGGTGGTTGTGGTTGTGGTTTTTGTGACCTGTTTCTCTCTATCTCTCTGTCTCTCTCTGTCTCTCTCTGTCTCTCCCCACTCTCACTCACTTGCTTTGGCTCTGGCTTTCGCTTTCCTGCTCGGGCGCTTTCTCTCTCTAAACAAATGAATAGTTGAGTTAAATGTGAGCTTCTGAATTGTACTTGTTCATGCTTTTAAGACATAACAGATTAATAAAAATAGATGTGTTCTAATTTAAAACATGCCACCTGGAAAGGCATGCAGTATTATGAAACCATGATATTAGAAATATTAGTCTGTTGAATCCATTTGTCCAATTGTATAACTTCGTGGAGCAGTGTTTTGACCTTTACGGCATAATTTTGGAGCAAGTGGAGTGGTTGCAGGCAGATGAGACAGTTTACATCAGGAATTTTCAATGAACTTTAGTTGGAGGCCTGGCAATGGCAAACATCTTCAGATGTTGCTGTAACCATTATGAAGAACAAATTTCTGTTCTAGAAATTTCCCAGAATGCTTCAGTCAAGAATTTTTTTTAGGTTCATCTTTTTCTTTTTTTTTCATTTCTCCTTTTCTTTTATTATTTTGAAGCTGTTTATTATTACTGACTGAAGAAATATTTTGATTGTACTGTTTTTCTCTGTTCTCGTCTCTCTCTCTCTCTCTCTCTCTCTCTCTCTCTCTCTCTCTCCTCTTTCTCTCTGTCTCTCTCCATTTAACTATTGAAATCTGGAGTCTTTGGTAAATCTGCATGAGACTGGTCTGTAGGCCAGGAATGAAATCGAAATCTAAACAAACCTTGATGGGTTTTCAAAGAGGAACACTCTGTGTTCATTGGGCCCTTCCATGCCTCACATCGACAAATGATAAGACAGAGGTACTTCTTGCAGTGGGGCACTTTTAGAATCTCCTCTGAGACCTGATGCAGTTTAACAAACAACTCCACCTGTTTTGCCAGTAAGTCACTTGACTGAGGCTTGAAAAATACCCCTGAGAGTTACCAGGGGTGTCCGCCTGGTCTACAGTGTATGTGTTTGCTTTGTATCTACGAGGCACGTTCACGTCTCGTGTGCTCATGTGAAGTATTTCCTAGCATTCCCATTAGCCTGTATATAAGAACCAGAAAGATAATCCCAACATGTTGTAAATGAAGATGTGACTCTATAAACCTTTCCCTTGTTCAAAAGAGAAGACATTTTCATGCATATTGTAAACAGAAACTTTGTATATTTAAGTGTCATGGAAAATATGTATTGAGTAACCAGTATACAAATGGGAATTCAAGTGTCATAAGCTTTGTTGTGGGGGGGATGCTGGTCAACACGATGACCCGGGACCATTGTGACATGTCGTCTGTGTGTGTGTGTACGTGTGTGTGCGCATGTGCGACATGTTGGGCTTGCCATGTCCTTCACGGGATTTTAGCTTTCCCTTCTTGAAAAACATTCTTTTACAGTTCCAGGAGACTATGGCTACGTTGCTGTAGGAAGGCAGGGATTTGAAATGAAAACTCCTTTCCTCTTGGGAGTTTTTATCATAACATTATGGTTCAACTACATGGATTCACTGGCCTTTGTGAGGGAAGAGGCTCTGTTCCAATCCAACCAAGTTTCCAGAGAAAACCATAGATCAAGATGCATGGGAGGGAAGATGGAGGCCACCTCAGCTGCAGCAACATAGGAGTTGAGTGGAGCCCTCCGGGTTGGACTGAGCTTGCCCCCAAGCTGCAGCTCAAATCCCTGGGGTCAGTGTCCTGGCCTGGGCTCCCTCCACGTCAGTGGACGAGGAGAACTGTCAGAAATAGCC